CACACACACGCGGGCGCGCGCGCGCACACACACACACACACACACACACACACACACACACACACATGCATGCATCGCTGGGGGACAACGAGACGTATAAGTCCGCACATACATCGATTCAGCTAGTGACAACTTGGATAAACGACGGGGCTAATTGGCTTGTGCGTTGTTTTGTACTGGACGAATGAGGAAGAGGGAACGTGACGCGAGGCGTCGAGCTACCGCGAGCTGTCACCGCCACGGTATGGCTGATGGACGGTGACAGGTAGAGAAAGTATTAGATGACACTTAGATGAAGATGAATACGCAGCGTGATGAGCGGAGGAGAGGTAGGGGAAAATGAGCCAGCTGTGTGAATTGGCGATGCCACCGAGAGGAAGGTAGACGGGCCGCGAAATTTTTTTTCCCACGAGAGTTCCGGACCCCAGCCAATCAGCGCACTCCATTTCACTCGACTTCCTCGAAGCAACAATGTAAAATTTATACATCCTAACACTAACCCTAAACCTAACCCGAACCCTAACCCTAACACTAACTATAATCCAACCAGGTCCGTTTTATATAGACACCATATATTACAAAACACTATCTGTGGTGGGTCCGGAACTCTCGTGGGAAAAAAAATTTCGCAGACGGGCCGTGTGATGAGGGGAGACGATATGACGATGGGGTGTAGGGAAGCTTCAACTGCAGGCTAACAGACCGAGGGAGTTTCTTATTTATTAATTTAAGAGGAGAAGGATTGTAATATCTTGCAAACCACTCTTAGTTTCACTTATAATATGGACGAGTTTTGTCCGAAGGTAAAAATAATTCGGTTAAATAGCAGTTAGGTGTAAATATAATTGCACTTTTGTGATTAGCCTTCAATCTGTGACATGCAAAATAAATCGGCAGAAGCGCAACTTTGTCTGGGTGGCAGCACAATCGTGCAGTGTCATGTCAGCAGACAAAAATATAGATTTCGAAACTCACCGTTGTTTTGTGACAAATGTGAATGCGTGATTAGAGAAGTAAGTGTAATGTAAGTATATACAATTATTTATGCACTTACTATCATAGTATACTGCATTTAAGTTGGTGACGGAGTTCTCCATCCCACCTTCTCTCGTCCTTCTCCACTGTTTCTCACTCTACCCCACCTTTCACTGCCCTTAACCACCCTTCCCCATTCATCGATGCCTTTCCCTTCCTTTCACCGCCTTCCACATGCTTCCTACCCTTTTTTTCATATTTTCCCAATCTCCCACACCCTTCCCACATCTTCCACCCTCCCGCGTCCTTCCCTACCCGCTCTATCGTTGCCTTCCCTATATCCTCCTCCTAGCGTTCCCCTTCCTCTCTCGTTCTGTAGTTGGGAGCTGGACCGTGTCATCGGTGTAACGCGTCAAGATGTCACTGCCTTCAGTAATCGGTCGTTGTACAGAC